AGGGCAGCGGCGCCTCCTGCCTCAGCACCCCCCCACTGACCTGGGTGAAGTCCCACAGCCGCTGGCTGGGCCTGGCTACGTCCTCACATCTCTTCAGGGTGGGCGTGCGGCCCCTGCCGTCATCCACCAGACACTTGGAGTCGGGCAGGAAGGCGGTGGAGCCCAGGGGCCCCAGCTGGAGGAGGCCGTCCGCGCTGTACCGGACCAGCTGAGGGGGCAGCGGGAGCGGTGAGCGGCCGCCCGCCAGGCCTGGCTGACCCCAGGGTGAAGAAAGGCGCTTGCATGGGACCCTGGTGTGTGTTGGAGGCTTTACCTGGGGACGCCGTAGCGGACCACCAGGGTGGCGGGGCTGAGGGACAGGATGCGCACCGCCCAGGCTCAGGATGCCGGCCGGCCCTCAGCTGTTGGGAAATGGAGCTACTAGACACAGGAAGACCTGGCAGGGCACAGGAGCCCAGGCCACCTACCCCTGACTCAGCCTAGGGCTCGAGATGCTGGAGTGGCAGGGAACACCCCAGCCCCAGCCTCAGAAAGTTCTGGAATAAGAAGGAGCCTTGGTCTAGACCACAGCAGAGAGCTCCCACCCCTGAGCACGGTGGGCAGCGTCCCACGCCTCCCTCTGCCTGCCGGAGCCCAGCAGGGGTGGCCCCGGGAGGTGCCTACCTGGGAAGACATGCCGTGACAGGGGTAGAGGATGGCCCGGTCATCGTCTTCTGCCCCCTGGTCCAGGCAGTAGCCCGTGGCCTTGCTGTTCCTCACCTGCAAACAGGGGAAGCCTCCGGTCACTTGGTGTGGGCCTTCGGGCTTCCCTGCCTTGGGTGGGGGACCTGCGCTATGCCTGCCTGGTGCTGTCCTGAGGGACAGGCCCCTGGGGGGTCTGCCCAGGGGAGGGGAGGAGTGAGGGACGGGGAGGGAGTGGAATGGGCCGGGGAAGAGCGGTTGCCATACAGAGGGGAAGAGATGAGGCGCACTTGTGTAGTGTGCATGTGGACTTGTGTACATGCATGTGTGAACTTGTGTACTCTACATGCATGTGTGGACTTGTGTACTCTACATGCATGTGGACTTGTTTACATGCATGTGTGAACTTGTGTACTCTACATGCATGTGTGTGGTATGTGTAATCTACATACCCATGTGTGGACTTGTATGCTCTACATGCATGTGGACTTGTATACTCTACATGCA